ATCGGACCCAATTTAGTCCCTTGTGGGACCCCAGCGTTTACATACGACCAGTCAGAGAAGGAATCAATAATCTTGACTCGTTGTCTTCTATTGGATACAAAACTACAAATCCAAGGTAATAAAGACCTACGTACCCCTAAGTTAATAAGTTTGAGCATTAGGATGTTGAGATTTATCCTATCGAAGGCTTTACTGAAGTCCAGCATACAAATACGCAAAGTGTTACCAGGGGTATCGAGGCTAGATAGCCATTCGTGGAGCATATCCATGAGACACAGGGTTGTAGATGTGCCTTTCAAGCAACCAAACTGGCGTGGATCAATTTTACTCTGGATATCTTCGAGGACCCAGCATGCGACGAATTCCTCTAATACTTTAGAGAGGCATGGCGTGAGTGAGATAGGCCGGAAGTCACTGAGGGATCTCGGTACAGACTCTTTGGGAACAGGTGTTATGTTCGCAGCCTTCCAGATGTCTGGAACAATACCCGAAGTTAAACTTGAGTTTTAAACAGGTTTGCAACTGGGTCAGCAAACTCAAAAGCGAATTCTCTAAGGATACGTGCAGGGATGTTATCTGGCCATGAAGCTTTAGATGGATTTAGCTTGAGCAGTTTTTGACACACTTGTGGTGGGCTGATGAACGGTGCTCTCTCAGAGCATGGTAAGTAGGCTGGGAGTTGGCATGGATCTAAAGCAGGAATGTCCTCATTTACAGAAAGGAAGAACTTATTTAAGTCATTAACCAGCTCGTTAGGAAATTTAGTCACTCCATCGATAACAAAACTGTTAGTAGAGGTAGCTGATGAACAGGACCTACCAGAGACTTTGTTAACGTAGTTCCACCATTTTCGAGAGTGTTGTTCTCAGGTGTTGGATTTTCTCCGAGTAGAATTGTTTCTTTCTTTGTGTAATAGATGTTCGCACCTTGTCACGGTAAATACGCCATAAATGTCGACTCTCAGACAGTGCCGAAGATGATCAGAACAGCCAAGTTTACGGAAAATTTCATCACGTCGCCGTGCAAAGTGTAAAAAAGGTGCGAGTGTGTAAACAAAGACAAAGTGTGTAAAGTCTAGAACGACAATGTGTATAGTAACGGCCCAAGAAACTTTGAGTTTTCCTCAGAAACTGGAAAAAAACTTCGTCTCAATTAGATTTTCCACGTTTACAATAGCAAGCTATCCCTATAATTGCGCATGTGCAATCATTTGACCGCTGTGTGCGTTCGAGAGAGATGTATCATATCCTCTTAAATTTCTTGCTTCATGGCCATTCAGCCAAAGGTACTAAATTTGCGAGAGAATCACAACGACAAATATGTATCTCGGTTACACACCCTCTAATTCGGATATTCGGCTTCTGACTCGAAATGTAACACTTTAGCATTTTCTTAAGTACAACCGAAAGGCCATCCTGCAAATTTACACATATTAGCATTTGAGGCCTTTTAAGAAATGAAAGTGGCAGCTCAGTGTATTTTAAACTTAACATAGCTTGATGAATAGAGTTGGGAACTAGGCAACAATCCAAACTCCTCGTTCTTAGGCTTTCCTCGTTCTTAGGCAACAATCTTCTTTCCTCGTTCTTAGGCAACTCTTTCTTCTTTCCTCGTTCTTAGGCAACAATCCAAACTCCTCGTTCTTAGGCTTTCCGCGTGAAGTTAGGCCTGCGTGAGTTTGGGTGTGCGGCTTTGAGTTTTAAAGTCTAGCCAAATTAGCCCTGTTTTAAGTGTTAGTAGTGTTTTCTGCTTTAATTTTGAAGAGGGGCAAAAATTAAATCAATATCCTATTATATTATATAAACAAAAGATGGGCGCAACTCTTTCCGGAACGTTCTCAACACAGGCTGTTCGTGTCTGGCTTTTTCCTGTTAGATTTGGATGGTTATGGCCATCTTCAGGACAATAGAGGTGACGTATGCCCTTTACGTTTAACGGTGGAAGGAAAAAGATAAAAGTTTGCTTTCTTGTAATATGGTTGTAGAAGAGACACGCATGATTTTGGCAAATGAATTACTGACGAAGAGCCACCGAAGATCCCTCGGAATCACTGTAATTCTTTATAATAAACACGCATAGGAGTGCACCAATCTTTTTTTCAAAAGGACAGCAAGACATCAAGCTCGAAGATTTCGCCATCGACGGATTATCTACTGGCAAAGTGGAAAATCGAAGTCAATACTGAATTGGTTCCTACAGTGAGACATCAAATAATTTTCGCATAATGCAGAACTTAGAATGTCTATGAAACAGTAACTCTATGTATCGAAAAGACAGATATTGACATATCTGTTAAATACTATCAAGCCATCTTCAAATATCTTAAATGGATCGTGAGTAAGTTTTTGAAATCCACGTAAGCTTGTATTAATTACACATCGGACACCTCGGTTGTGATATGAAAACTTTTCCGAGTTTTTTCAAGTAAAAAAAATCCAAGTTTTCAGTGGTAACTGGTAGTTCACTGATCAAGGGGATTAATACAGCAATCGTCATCGTTTCATTTTACATGTAAATGTCTTTATCATCCTAATCGATATTTCTTAAGAGCATCTAATTAACAATTATTCCACAAGCGTACGTTGGATATGAGATGATAGATAGCCAACGAGGCGCTACGCGCCTCGTTGGCTATAATCATCTCATATCCAACAAGTGCGAGTGGAATAATTGTTTTATTAAAAACGCCCCCAAGAAATAATTATTTTGTAAGAAGAAACCGGATTTTTTAGCTCCCTTTTGATTTTAAGCTGACGCGTACGCTTACCATATTTGTAGATTATGGTATATTGGCCCATATACCATAATGGCTAAGCCAATAAAAAGTCTTGAATTGCATTATCCAATGATCCAGATTTTAATATTAAAAGATAAGCAATATGATCTCGCCTCAAAATCGTCTATATTCAACTCACGTACACTTGTCCTTAATGGAAAATGAATTTCACCAAAACCTGTTCTTAATAACGCCTTTTGTTCCACAAGAGGATTAGATGACCATTAACATAACAAAAGGTTATCACACGAAAATGGGGCGATATTTTAAACGTGGACATAGCCAGCCTACATGCAAGTACGTGCGACATCGTTTCAAAGGTAAGCTAATGTTTTAATATATTTTACCTCAGTGTCTAGCACCGTACAAATGTGTAATTAATTGTCGTCTCGGTAAATTTCTCGCGAGGTTTGAAAAAAATCGAACTAGCGATGTGGGTTTATTTCTTCAAAAAGACCCAGAAAAATGAATTTTTTTTTATTCATTCTTGCGAATACAGAATCTTGTACACGTTGTCTATCCAAGTCTATATAGCCTTCATTTCTTTACCTATTATTTACCCAGAGAGCTCACGTCGCAAGCTAGAAAACTGACAAGGGAAGACAAGATTTTCCCATCGGGAGGGACGGGTGGGACTATTATTTGCGCCTTTCCAGTACTTCGGAAGATGACAGGCTGTTATCACTTTTTCTTGAACAAAAGGAGGGGAGAGGGGTGGTCTTTTGTTTAACAGGACCCCTCTCCCCTCTCTCCTAACCAACTTCCTTGGCTAAGCACGTAGAGCAAAAATTGTGAGTCTTATGTCTATCTTACATACGTATTTTTCGTTAAAAAGTTCTTTTTTTTTAAAGAAAAAAACTATGTCCTAGGACATGTTCTTCTTTCAAAAGCTAATCAGAATCATCCTAAAATAATTTTCCTGTTGTTTAAACTTGCCTCTTTTTGTAATTCCAGAACAAATTTCCCATCCTATCCCACTATCTGCGTCAGCTTTGCTCTTGTGTTCTAGAAGCTAGATATTCATAATTCCGTGATCGGTCACGCCTGATCGTAAACAAATTTTATCGTTCGGAAACTTCAATCATTCCACTGAGGTAGCGGAACGCTCCGAAATAATAATAATAATAATAATAATAATAATAATAATAATAATAATAATAATAATAGTAATGACTTTATTAGTAGTACTTCCACAAGGTGGCTCTTCGCCTACTAAATGTTATGTTGCAGTGCTTCACTTCACTAAAACTTATTGTTCTTAGTTATTTCTGAGAAATTTGAGAATCTATTCCGAGAAATCGATACCTGCCTTCATTTGGACCCTCTGGACGTCTCCAGTCTAAAAGGGTATCTCCAAATAGTTGGGCTCGATATAAAGCGGTCTTGTCGTAGTAAAGATCCTTGTTGTGGTTTAAACTTTGCAATCTTTTTGTGATTCTACAATCAATTTCCCATACTATCTCACTGAGATCATTTTCTATATCAGCTTTGGTCTTGTGTTCTAGAAGCTACGAATTTATAAGCCCGAGGTCGGTCTCCGTCTGATCGTAAACACATTTTAA